TTTAGGGTTTGCTTTGTTTTCTTTTCTGCCGATTTGAATGCCTATTTTTAAGAACAGAGTTTTTTAAATAATTTCTTTGGTGAGAATTTATTTAAATAAAATCAAAGTAAATAATAGGGCAATAAAATTTTTAAAACACCATAAACTGGCACTATCTACACCGTCCCCTATCCCCACATATGCACAAAAGTATTGTAGAAGTAATTTTTGTGCCTTAAATTTTACAATAATTTAAGCCAAAGATTTACTATACCCAAATATTTGCTCAAGACTTACAAATAAGAGCCTCATTAATTTACCAGATATTTACAGAGTGCCTACTATGTACCAGGCTCTAGCCTAGATGCTGGGGATACGATAGCGAATAAAACAAAGTCCTCATCCCCCACTGAGGTTACAGTCTATGAGGAAAGAGAAATATTAAACACATAATCATTCAAATAAATGTATGGTAAGTGCTTCTAAGGATACTATGACAGTATAATAAGGGAACCTAATTTATACTTGATTATGATCAAAGAAAGGAGCCTTGGTAGTGCAGTGGTTAAAGTGGAGCCTTGGTTAAAGTGCTTGGCTGCTAACCAAAAGGTCGTTAAAGTGGAGCCTTGGTTAAAGTGCTTGGCTGCTAACCAAAAGGTCGGTGGTTTGAACCCACCAGCCGCTCTGTAACAGAAAGATGTGGCAGTCTGTTTCTGTAAAGATTCACAGCCTTGGAAACCCGACAGGGCAGTTCTACTCTGTTCTATAGGGTCACTCTGAATTAGAATCGACTTGACGGCAGTCGGTTTGGTTTTTTGGTATGGTCAAAGAAGGTATCTCTGAAGAAGTGGCATTTAAGCTAAAGCTTACAGGATTAATGGAGTTATCAAGGCAAAGAATGGGAAGAGCGCTATAAGCAAAAAGAGAGGCTCAGCTTGATCAGCAAGTAGTAATCACAGGATAAAATGTCAAGAAATGAGCTTGGTGAGATAGAGTCAAATCATGAAGGCCGCTCCAGATATTAAAGTACCTCTTCTGAAGTTGTCTAATATTCTAGGGGCTGGGACACAGCAATGGATAAAAGAGACAAAGATTCTACTTTCATGCAACCTATATTCTAGAGGGAAGACAAATATTCGATAAAGGTATGCTGTGGTGAGAGTGTTTTTTAAGAAACAAAACAGAGTAAAGAAAGAGTGGTTGAGGGTGATGCTATTTTAGAAAGAGTCGTCAAGAAAGGCCTCTTGCTGTGAGGACCATGGTCTCAAGGAACATCTAGCTCAATTGGCATAACACAGTTTATAAAGAAAATGTTCTACATTCTACTTTGGTGAGTAGCGTCTGGGGCCTTAAAAGCCTGTGAGCGGCCATCTAAGATACTCCCTTCAGATGCCAAGGGAGAATGAAGAAAACTAAAAACACAAGGGAGAGATTAGTCCAAAGGACTAGTGGATGACAACTACCACACCTCCACCAGACTGAGTCCAGTACAACTAGATGGTGGCCGGCTACCAACACCGACTACTCTGACAGGGATCACAATAGAGGGTCCCCGACAGAGGTAGAAAAAAATGTAGAACAAAATCCTAACTTACAAAAAAAGACCAGACATACTGGCCTGACAGAGACTGGAGAAACCCGAGAGTATGGCCCCTGGACACCCTTTTAGCTCAGTAATGAAGTCACTCTTGAGGTTCACCCTTTAGCCAAAGATAAGATAGGCCCATGAAACAAAATGAGACTAAAGGGGCACACCAGCCCAGGGGCAGGGACTAGAAGTCAGGAGGGGACAGGAAAGCTGGTAATAGGGAACCCAAGGTAGAGAAGGGAGAATGTTGGCATGTCATGAGATTGTTAATCAATGTCATAAAACAATATGTGCACTAACTGTTTAATGAGAAGCTAGTTTGTTCCTTGTATTGTTTCTATTGTACCTTCATCTAAGGTATGATAAAAAAAAAAGAAAAAAGAAAAAAAGAAAGGCATCTCTGATAAGGTCTCCTTTGAGTAGATATGTGAATGATGGGAGAACCAAACTATGAAAATTTCTGCACGAAGAACATCCCAAGTAGAAAGAGCAGCAAGAGGGCAGCATGCTTCACTGTTTTAGGAACTGATAACACTCCAGTGTAGCCAGAAAGGAGTGTGTCACAGGAGTGCAGACGATGAGGTCAGAGGACAGCAGATCATGTAAGACCTTACAGGTCAGGGAAAGGGCTTTGAATTTTATTGAGTAAGATGGGAAACTGGAAGATTCTGAGGACAGGAGTGAAATGACTTCACTTCTGATTTAAAAGGATCACTATGGCTGCTGTGTGGCGTACAAACTGTAGAGAGAAAAGGCTATAAGGAGAAAGACTCAGTAAGAGGCTACTGTTACAGTCCATGTGAACACAGGGACGATGGAGACGTGCGCCACAGGAAATAAGTAGCCAGATTCTGAATATATTTTAAAGGAAGAGCCAAAAGAATTTGCCGATGGATTAGATATGGCTTATGAGAGTACAGAATAACATTTTCAGACTGAGCAAAGGGGAAAAATAAAGGTGCTATTTACTGAAATGAGGAGGAGGTTTAGGGAAGGAAAACAATATTAGAAATACATGTGGTATGCAAAACTAAGTTTGAAAGCATTTCTGAATCAGACAACCACATTTAAACTAATGAAATAATTTAAGCCATTAAATTAAACCAGGGAAAAACAATTTTCATTCTAAGACATAAAGTTTAAGTACCTTCTCAGCAGCTTCAACAGTCTTCTGTGTTTTTTTAGCGGCATATCTCTTGTGATCATAATACCTTGAAAAACATATTTCTCTTAAATTTTAATCTTTATTTAATTTTCTGTTATTTCTAATTATACAGATGTTTAAATCACAATATATTTTATTTGTTCTATATGAAAACAGATAATGCACAAACCTGTATTAAAAAGTACTTTAACTCACAGGCAAAAATATAGATTTTTCTTAACATCCTTAATATCTTGTTTATTGCAGATATCACTTTACCTAAAATTTGTACCTAAATGACTTACTTTTTGGCATTGGCATACGCTGACAAGCTAAGATCAACATCAACAGGTAAGGGCTTATTTTTCTGAGGCTTCTGCAACTGTTTATTTTTTTGCTTTTTCTTTTTTCCTTTTGGTGGTTCTGTTTCATTTTTCTCAACACCGATGTTACCATCAATATCATCATCTTCCTCCTCTGATAACAAGTATGGATTTCTATTAAAAATATTCAACAGTATTTCACTAAAGTCAATGACATCACTTTTAATTTCAACTTTCTCCTCAATGAAAGTATAAATGGTTCACAGTACTTAGTTTATTTATTTTAATGTAAATTAATTTCTTCTTTATCTTCAATGATAACTTTCCAAATATAAGGAAAGAAAAGACATTTTAAATGAATACAGTGAACAATTAAGTAGCAAAATGAAGACAAGCAAGAGTCAAACTTACCTTAGCAGCATTGTAACGTGATTTGTTTGCAGCTTTAATTCTTTGATTGCATTTGCAACAGGATCTCCTTGAGCTTGGGCTTCTTTCACAATTAATCCAATTTCTGTCCAGTCTATCTGGTTGGCTAAAGCACTTCGAACTACCTGAATGGCTCTGTCAACTATTTGTAGGTTCATTTCTATGAGCTCTCCTTTAAGTTTATCTATTTCCTTAAGAAATAAACAAAACACTTTAGTATAATGCCACTTAATTTACCAGTCTTTGAAAAAGTATCTGAAAAATCTAAACATAATACCTGAGCCTGCTGAAGAGCTTCTAATCTGTTTTCATGATCCTTTCGGACATTATCTAATTTCTTCAATGCCTGTTTTTCCTTTTATTGACAAAAGAGATTATTAAAAAAGTGGGCTTCTACTTCCTGGCACCATCTTTCTCTTACCTCCAGAAACTCACCTAGCTCTACCTCTGCCCCTTCAATGTTGATATCTATCTAGTTAAAACTCCCCATATTCCACTCCCCCAGGCCTATCCTATCCTGAAGTGTTGCATACTCCAAAATTACCTCCTGCCCACTCACCTAACACTGCCTGTGTAGGGAAGTTTTTTGATTATAGGTTATACTGTACATAAGACATGCATCCCTAAAGCCCGTGCATTACTCAAACAGGTAGAATTCAAGAAGTTTCCTCATGGCATAAATGTAAAGTTTGGGTGGAATGCATTCTTGGACTGCCATGAATTAACCAAAACAGTGTCTTATTTTATTGCTGCTTGTTATTTTCTCGGCATTATTTCTAGTGTTTTACAGAACACTCTTTTTCCTAAGTTAACACAAAGGCTTGTGGTAGTTATTTGACTTGCATTTTATCATATATAATTTACATTTCAGTTATCAATTTGGGGGCACATTTTCCAACACTAATAATAGCAACACCAATTACTGAGTATATGCAGGCTGGATGAAATTACTACCAAATATTAAAAATATCTAGAATGGTGACTACAAAAGAACCCACGATTACCAATATAATTCACAAACGTTCTGATGTACATAAAAACATGGAGTTCAAATGTTACTGTTAAGTACTGATTAATTTTTCAAAATGGGTAGTGGGAGGGAACAATTCACATAATTTCAAACTTTTATAAACAGATTTTTAAGATTTTAGTAAGATTTTTGAAAAATCTAGTCTCCTTTAAATCAAGAACGCTTATTGCCAATTTCCAAAAATGTTCCAGAAACATAGTCAAATGTGCTTGAAAAACACTGCATGTTAAACCCTCCTTGTGGTTTAATATTTAAGAGTAGTTTAAGCATCTAAGGGGCTTAATTTAAAAGTCCAGTTTAAAAAAAAATCAAAACACACAGTTTAACTTTATTTAATGATAAACAAATACACTTATTTGTACAGAAAGGGGGAAAAAGCTTTATCTCCCTCTTCTGCCCTATTTAAAATCTCCCCAGAATAGCAATCCCTTAGCAGCCGAGTTTGTAGTGTTTTGAGTTGTTTTAGGAAATTAAGTCATACTAGAGTGTAACTAAGTAACAGACCTCACCTTCCTACTGTATTTCCCTTATCAGAGAATATGTGATACACTGATAGACCAAATAAGGATACACTCTTCAACAATGAGACCTGTCCTGGATCTGTATCCAAAGAGATCAAGGAGTTCCCATGCTACTTCTAAAAGGTTGCACATTACTTTATGAAAGCATTATCCACCTATCAAACCATACTAAGGACAGTTGGTTTAATATAAATGTTTTTAGTAATACGATACCTGTTGTAAAGCTTTTAAGTCTATTTTCTGACCTTCTATCTTGGAATAAAATTCATCCACGGCCTTATTAAAAAAACAGAAACAATAACTAGCTGGGAAAAACAAAGTCTCTAACTTGCATACTCAGAATTTTATGTCTCTTTTGTTTGATAACACTACTGAAAGAACCTGAACAGATCCAGTAAATGTATTATATAGCTAAACAGTATCAAGAATCAAAAAATAAAAAAAAAAGAATCAACTTAAGTTCAAATCTTTGGTTCTTCATCTTGAAACAAAGTGGCAACAAACAAGTTTCTAACAACTTTATCTGTGATACCTTCATTGATCTCTAATTCTCAGATTCACAGTGACTGTAAAGTAAGAATATTTTCGATTTCTCAACTGAAGCAAATTTATATTAATTTAAAAAACTTACATCATACTAATGAACTGGTCAAAGAAGATAAGTGGTCAAAGAAGAGAATTGGAAAACCCACCTTGTCAAATGATTCAAATTCTATATATGGACATTGTAAATGTTGAGAAAATAAGAAAGGATGAAATTCTTCGTACCTGTAAAACATATTATATCACATTCAGTAACATCAACAAACATCCAAAGTAAACTGACCCATTCCTGCATGCTTACGTGAGTATATCTTCAGTTGGTTTATCTGTAGCCAGGCTTGGTTTTCTTTCTCTTTTCTGAATGATATAGCCCTACAAAAATCCAATACTGAAATTAATTTTTATCTATAATTAACAAAGATTTACTTTTCACTACTGATATTAATTTTATTAGTTTAATTTATGAAATTATTCTACAAATAATCACTTGCATCTATCGATTGTATCCCTTTCCATAATGTTTTTTTTTAGACTTGATGAGTAATGTTAGAAAATAATGGCTTATTCATGGACAAAAAACAGGAAGGGAATAAAGAAAATGAAAACTAGTGATTTGATAAAGTGATAGGAATGTACATAGGCTTTTTGCTTTTTCTCTTTTCATTTTTACAAATTCCGTAATTAAAAAAAAAAAAAAGCCAAAAAGCATTTGTACTTTAAGTAAATCAGCAAAAGTAAGTCTAAGGTTCATTTCGTTGGCAGGAAATTTTAATTCATTTATAAAACTAGGCAGGTATATTTGGACTGAATTTAGCTATAATTAATCAGAACTTCCCCCCTCAAATTGTAAGTAAAGTTATATCCTGAAATAAGGAAGAAAAACACGAATAAGGTATGAGGTAATTCAGAGGGTGTTTACCGACTGGAGGGATGTCAATCACTAAAGCTTTGGAAAGTGCTAGCAAATTAAAATGTGCTTCTCTACCTAAAATCAACCTAAGAAGAAATACTTTGAAATTCTTCAACTTTTCTGTGGTAACAATATTAACACAGTATTTTCTATAAAAGATAATTTAAAAAAATTACAAACCAACCGAAATATTTTTAAAAGACTATTATAATAAGCACAGAATAGGTGTCAATCTTCTAAATTACAACAATAAAATTTACATTTACTAACCCTTTAATGAATATTTAAATTCTGAAGATCTAAATAAAAACCACAATAAATATATGTAGCGCTACCTTTCCACTGAAGTTCAATGTTGTTTTCATATAGTCTTCTGCTTTCTGCAGACAAACAAGTACTTTTTCAATATCTAAGAGGAATGAAAAAGGAATAGCAATCAAGAGTCAATCAGGCACTGTTAACCAACTATGCAGAAAATCAGAAGTGTTTGTGAAATAAAGTGTTAAAGAAAATCACATATAGTTGTTTCATGTTTGTAATCAGTACATATAAATAAGGATATGTTTTGGCTAGCCTGTTGTCCCAATAGCTTTCACTGAATAATCCATCTTTCTCCCCAAGATCTGAAAGGCATCTTGTTCCTACACTAAATTCTCATATATATTTGAGGCCTGTTCCTGGATTCTTTATTCTGTCTATTCCTTCTCTAATAAATTACTATTTTAATTAGTGTAACTTCACAGTACACTTTAATCTGTGAAAGCTATTCCCCATCATTACCATTATTTTTCAAAGTTTTCTTGAAAATTTTCGTATGCTTTTGTTCCAGATGAATATCAGATTAATTTTATTAAAAACAGCAATAGCAAAAACAACAGCATCTCTTGGCATTTTGATTAGGATTGCACTGACTTAGTATACTTTAGAAACTAAAACACTGGCTTTTAATTATCTAAAGGACATTCAAAGCTCAAATTTTTTAAGTCTAGAGCTACCTACTTACTCATTACTTTTCCAGAAATAAGTTTCATCGTTTTTTAAAAAGGAAACAGACCAAATTACTGGGCTAAGGGCTGTGGGTACCATGGTCTCAGGGAACATCTAGCTCAACTGGCATAACATAGTTTATAATATTCTACACGCTACTTTGGTAAGTAGTGTCTGGAGTCTTAAAAGCTTGTGAGCAGCCATCTAAGATACTCCACTGGTCTCACCCCATCTAGAGCAAGGGAGAATGAAGAAAACCAAAGAAACAAAGGAAAGATTAGTCCAAAGGACTAATGGACCACAAGTACCACAGCCTCCATCAGACTGAGTCCAGCACAACTAGACGGTGCCTGGTGACCACCACTGACTGCTCTAACAGGGATGACAACAGAAGGTCCCGGACAGGGCTGGAGAAAAATGCAGAACGAAATTCTAACTTACAAAAAGAAAAATACTAGAGTTACTGGTCTGACAGGGACTAGAAAAACCCCAAGTGTATGGCCCCCGGACACCCTTTTAGCTCAGTAATGAAACCACTCTTGGGGTTCATCTCTCAGCCAAAGATTAGACAGACCCATAAAACAAAATGAGACTAAATGGACACACCAGCCCAGGGGCAAGGAAGAGAAGGCAGGAGGGGTCAGGAAAGCTGGTAACAGGGAACCTAAGTTCAAGATGGGAGAGTGTTGACTGGTCATGGGGTTGGCAACCAATGTCGCAAAACTATATATGTATTAATTGTTTAATAAGAAGCTAGTCTGGTCTGTAAACCTTCATCTAAAGTACAATAAAAAATAAATAAATAAATAAATATAGACAAAACTTGTACCATGCAGACATACCTTTACTTTCAAATTTTTCACCCACTTTGACATTGCTGGAGAATCCATTTTCTATAAGACAGTGTTCAATAAGAGCTGGTCCATAGGCTATAAAAGCAGAGAGTATTATGTTTCATATTTTCCTATAAAATTTAAATTCAGAATGTAGTACGAATTCATATCTCAATATAAATGATCTACTTTATAACAATAGCTAGTAAAAATAACAATTAGTTTATACTATTTTGAAATGTCATTAAAAATAACAATCAAGTACCTGTAGAAATCTGAGACCACAACAAACTTGTAGAAGTCAATGCAAAAGTTATAGATATAAATGTAATGGAACTGAGCCACAGATAAAAGGATTATAAACCATGATCAACAGGGATTTATCCCAGGAATGCAAGGTTGGTTTAACATCTGAAAATCAATTAATATAATACACCTTATTGATAGAACAAAGGACAAAAACCACACGATCACCTCAGTTGATGCAGAAAAAGCATTTGACAAAATTCAACTCTCAATAAACTAGGGATAAAAGAGAACTTCCTCAAACTGATAAAGGTGTCTACAAAAAACTTACAGCTAACATTATACTTAATAGTGAAACACTGAATAATTTTCCTCTAAGATCAGGAATAAGACAAGAATGTCCATTCTTGCCACTGCTATTCAACATTGTACTGGAGGTTCTAGCTAATGCAGTCCAGGTCAAAAAGATAAGAAAAATTAAAGGCATCCAGATTCAAAAGGAAGAAGCAAAACATCTCTATTCACAGATGACAGGGGCCTGTATGTTAGAAAATTCTGAGGAATTCACAAAAAAACTACTTTTGACGAGTTTGCAGGATATAATATAAATATATAAAAATCAATTTTATTTCTGTCCAAAAATGGAATTTAAGAAAACAATTCCATTCACAATAGCATCAAAAAGAATAAAATATTCAGAAATAAATTCATCAAAGAAGTAAAAGATTTATACACTGAAAACTACATAACATTGCTAAGAGAAATTAAAGATCTAAACAAATGGCAGAACATTCCCTGTGCGTGGAATTAAAGATTCAATATAGTTAAGACAGCAATTTCCCCAAAGTGATCTATATGTTCCATATAATCCATAAGAAAATCCCAGCAGGCTTTTTTGTGGAAAGTAACAAGCTAATCCTAAAACTGATAAGGAAATGCAAAGGACCCAGAATAGCCAAAACAACTCTGAAAAAGAACAAGGTTGGAGGATTTGCACTACTTTATTTCAAAAATTATAGAATTTGCAGGGTGAGATATTGGCTTAATTCAAATTTTACACATAAAATATTAAGAGTTGAAAAGTCCTAAGATAACTTTCTATGCATTCTAATTTCACAGGAGAGGAAAAGTAACTCCCTATGCTCAGTAATCAAAGGTATATGCCTCCCCAATGTCTTTCCCATGTTCCCTATTACAGGATAAGTAATGATTTCAAGTATAAAAGTTTATCGATAATCTTTACTCAGGGTATCAAAGGGGCCTGGCAGACACTGGGATGCTCTGAGATCCACCAATAAAAAGGCCAAGCTAAGTGGTTATTAAACCAAGGATTCACACTAACAATATCAGAAATACTAATTTCTTAGACTATTACAGCTAGCACTAAAGTGCTAGATAACACACTATTAGCTTACCCAATAATACTGCTTTTAAACAAAATCTAATTAAAAAAAAAAAACTTCAAATTTTATATGGCGTAATAAACTACTTCTTCACTGAAAACACTTATTACTCAAAAGGTCATTTTAAACTCCTTTCTACATTTATTAAATTGCTTACATTTTCCACCAGAAATATAAAAAGATTTAAATATACTTGTGAAAACCACATTATCTTCCCAACATTTCATGGCAATATGTAGAATTACTCACGAAGTAAGGGATTAAGAACTCTCTTCAGTAGTTCGCCCTTAGGTGCACTGGCTATTATTTCAGTCAGTCTATGAAACAAAATTGACACACCTCTTACTATCTTATATTTAACAAACCTTATAGCAATGTTTATATCCGTAATATTTTCATATGCAACAATTCATATGATCTTCACAACAACAATCTGAAATATAACAGAAATTAGTTCATTTTGCTGGTGGGAAAATGGGTCACAGAGTTAAGTAACTTACCCAGGTTAATAGGTTCCTGAACAGCAGAACTGGAACTTGAATCAAATTTTTCTAAAATAATTCAACTTTGTCATTTTGCTTATCCACCATTTGTTCGCATATAAATATCGTGAAAAAAACATTCTATATAAAAGTTAAATATTATCTATGGATCATGCTGTTATATCTTCATCACACTTGAAATGGAAATGCCTAATTAAGCATTGAATGAGAACTCTAAAGGATGCTGCATGCCAGTGGTTCTCCAACTGTGGTCCTCAGACCAGCAGCATCAACATCATCTCGGGACTTCTTAGAAATGCAAATTATTGGGAACCAGACAAGCATGTCCTTTATCACCACTCTTATTCAACACTGTGCTGGAGGTTCTAGCCAGAGCAATCAAGCTAGAAAAAGAAATAAAGGGCATTCAAATTGGTAGGGAAGAAATCAAAGTATCTCTATTTGCAGATGATATGATCTTATACACAGAAAACCCCAAAGAATCCACAAAAAAACTACTGGAACTAGTAGAAGATTTCAACAAAGTATCAGGATACAAGATAAACATACAAAAATCAGTTGGATTCCTCTACACCAACAAAGAGAACTTGGAAGAGGAAATCACCAAATCAATATCCTTTACAATAGCCCCCAAGAAGACAAAATACTTAGGAATAAATCTAAGCAGAGACGTAAAAAGACCTATACACTGAAAACTACAAGACGCTACTGCAAGAAACCAAAAGAGACCTATGTAAGTGGAAAAACATACCTTTCTCATGGATAGGAAGACTCAACAATGTGAAAACGTCAATTCTACCCAAGGCGATCTATAGATGCAATGCAATCCCAATCCAAATTCCCACGGCATTTTTTAATGAGATGGAGAAACAAATCACCAACTTCATATGGAAAGGGAAGAAGCCCTGGATAAGTAAAGCATTACTCAAGAAGAACAACAAAGTGGGAGGCCTCACACTACCTGATTTTAGAACCTATTATACTGCCACAG